CCGCTATTGCATTGCTGTCGCTGGACCATACCGCGAAATTTGTTTCTGAGAAGTAGATTCACGTACGCTATGCGTAGCCTCTTAATAGTTCGGACGTCCGATTGCAACTATGTTACAACTATGTACCCAACTAAATTACAGCTGTTTCGGCAGGGAAAAGGGTCGTCATGATCATATTAGGTCGATGATCAATAATACTAATTAGGTAGTACAGTATATACTGAATATAATTAATTCGTTTTAGAATATTATAGACCATACTTTTATTATTCCTAACGCAGAGAAAGTTGAACTGTAGGGTCTAACTCACTAACTTAAAAATCTCGTACCTTTTTGTAATAACTACACAATTTACTTCTTCACAATATTTAGGAGGTTTGAGGAGAAGTTCCCCTAACATATTTTTTATTTAATGTAAATTGATTATATTGATCACCTGTTGAGCTATTATTTTAAAGGTAAGGGTCAAGTGGAGGTGATAGATTTCTTTCCATAAAACCATCTAAATATTATGAACGAAGTATAATACAGAATATAAACTATTAGTAATTTAAAATTAAATATTGTACTTAGTTATAAGGAGAAAAGTTTGATTTAATACTTAAAGTTGGCCGATTTGCATGGGACGAAAATGAAAAATTTAGTTTTTTTATAAACTAGAATACATTATTTTTAGATATGACGAATTGATTATATTTTCAATTAATCAATATATTTACGCTTTTAAGTGAAGTATTCAGTGAAGTGTGGTTAATGGGATTTACTCGAAGGGTCGGGAGGGATGGCCTAGCCATTGTCCTGTTCCACCCTCTTGGTCAGGTAGTCTGCCTCAACTTAACATGAGACAGCCTTTAGTGTAAGGCCCCGTTTATGCACCAAGAGCGGGAGCGGTAGCGACAGCGGTAGCGATTTCTAAAACACCATTGAGTTAAATGGGGCTGTTTATGCACGAAGAGCGATAGCGAAGCGGTTGACCTCGCGCTGCGGTTTCTAATTCGCCCGCTGTGTAGTTAGAAATCGCAGCGGTTGCTTGGTTTTCAGATAGAGCGGTTTTCAACTACATTGAGTCAAATGGACTGTTTATGCACGGCGGGAGCGGGAGCGGCTGAAGCCAGGGTTGCCAACTTTACTCACGCGCACGAGCACTTAGGACAAATAGTTGTGTTAATTATTTGGCAGAGTTTGAGTTGGCAAGACTGTGCCCCCCTTCCATTCTCCTTTAACCAACCGCTACCGCTATCGCTCTTCGTGCATAAACAGCCCCATTCATAGTGGGAGCGGGCCCGCTATCGCCCCGCTCCCGCTCTTGGTGCATAAACGGGGCCTAACAGCTGCTTCGGTAGGCCGGGAGTGCGGCGTTGCCACTTTTGTCTCGCCGCGGCCTTGTATTAGAGGAGGCCACGATTATAGTCATAATGGAATGGACACTAATTATCATATTACAAATTCGAACATGGTTTTAGTGCGTTTTTGTTTGATAACACTTGAGTACGTTCATGTTCTACTGAATTTTTTTATGTTAAGTTAAGATTGTATATTAACGTTGTCTTAGTTAATAAGTTGATAAAAAAGGTATAACGAAAACATTTACTTAAGCGTTACCGAACATAAACAAACATTATAATTGTCTTTAGCCTAACAAGAATGAAAAACCAATGTTTAATACATGTTGTGATTAAACATTCCTTGTTATTCGTACATTTAGTGTACAGCAATCGTTTAATTAACACAGTAATCAAGGAACTTAATCCTAATCACGATTACTAGAAAAATACCGTTATGGAACTTAAACATAAACAAATGACGTTGTTGGCCCGAATCCTATACTAATAGCATTGAACATATGTTTTGGCAGTTCCATTTAAGCAATGTTAAATAATGTTTATTTTGGGGCCAAAAACGTCATTTGTTTATGTTTATGATCCATACCGGTATTTTTCTATTAATCGTGATTCTAATCATTAAGTACTGGTACGTATATTCTAGCAAACTATGTTTTACTGACCTTATTTTGTAATGATTCCCTACTACACATAAAACAAAATCTAACATTTTCCGTTGTAATATTTTATCTAAATCTACAATTCATGTAGGCGGTTGAGTAGTATTTGCGCCGAGTAGTATTTGCGCCGCGTAGCACCAGCGCCGCGCCAGCTAATTAAATGAGGGTTAGCAGTTTTGACAGGTTAACAATGGCGGAACCAATCAACTGCACTAAAAGGATTATTGAGGACTTATGTTCCTACCACATTTTACTTTCAGCGTAAAGTGGTTGCATGCAGTCACCTCGTGACCCATGCTGGTTACACATAATTTTAAATCTAATAGGCCTAACTGCAAAATTTATGACAACAAAAATATCTGCAAATATCGTTCACTGGTTGACAACAATACACAGTACACTCCGCCGTTTCAGTATAAGGGCTACCTAAAACCAATTAATTACCAATAACTCAAAAGAGAGGAAATTACGAAAAAAATAGTTTGTTTCTGTACCAGGTTTGGTAGTAATACATTGCGGCCTTATATCAATTTAAGATTATCTTAAGTCTAGAAATACAAGTACATATTAAGTTTACAAAATAACTCTCTAAAACGTGTAGTGGCAATACCACAAAGATACCCCACTTTAGGCGTTTTCCCCATAAAAATAACGTGGGGATAATTTTTTAGCCACTAATTCCAAAAATCCTGATCTTTGCCTACATATCCCTACATATAATCCTCATATACTATATTCGAAATAAAGCTAAAAAAGCTAATTCTTTCATTTATTGACCCATTAAATGTAAAGAGGTATAATATAGTAATATGACCTCACTTTAGGCACTTTTTCTCCATAAGAATAACATGGGTGAGTTTTTTTAAGCCATTTTCTAAAAACCCTGCTTTCAGCCTATACAAGCCCATGCAAATGTTTAATACTATTGTACAACTCAATAAACATTCCACTCCCACGAATATTTTAAAAATCATCAACTTGACAGTGCGAGGTTTGCACGTGAACTCGGGTGCACTCCCGGCCTATGCTTATCGCTTCTCGTGTGATTTTGATTAAATTTGGCATGAATGTGTAAGGTTGAATCACCTTGATTAAGTTTACGAACCACCAATATCGGAATGAAACCTGTTGTTATTTACCTACACATGTAGGTATAATATAAATAAATTAACGATACTTACGTCTTCTGTACCATAATGTTAAATTCGCAAAAAATGGATGTTTTTAGCGAATTCCCTAAAGGGAAATAGCTATTACCGTAGGTGGCACCGTAAGACCTAGGCCCGTGACCTATTTACTTTTTCATTTTGTATAGATTTATATACGTCCGTGAACGCGATAACTTGAGTAATTTTAGTTTGCTTGTTTATGGATATATTTTGATCAAACTTGGCAAATTTATTTATTTTATACTAAGCCATCCACATTTTACTAAAACTCCACTTTAATCGATTCCTTGTAGCAGCTAACCTAGGTACTCGTTAAACCTAATTTTATTTATATACATTCAATTGAAAATCAATTCAGACAAATGGAAATTCGCTTAGTTGGCAGGTTTGCTGCGGCGGGGGTATTGTCTGTTTAGTTTAGCTAAGTGTTAACACACAATGAAACTGTGTACCTGATACCATAAGGTTTTTTGTGAAATAACTTTTCACCCGTTTTGATTAACCAATGTTTTCGATGTATGAGTCCTTGTACATCTTATGATATAGCAGAGGGACGAATGGTAGCTAAAAGTGTCATTTTGGGCTTGCCCCCCCCCCTCAAGTTATTGATTTATTTACATGGTTAAATTTTTTAGAACCGGTAATTATGACAAACCTTTTTATAATGGGGTTTTATGTATGAACCCGTGATCCTTCACTTCGATGTATAACCTTTAGATAGCAAACAAAAGACGAAACCATATGGGTCTAAACTATATAACGTTTTAATCACCAGTAGTAAAAAGCCTTTTTAGTCCCTAGGGAGTACAAGTCAACTGTTGTGAACAGTTGTAAATGCCGATTGTAAGCAATTGCATGGTTCGAAATTATTTATCGATTCATTTATTCGGTTAGAGGTTTCAGAAAGGTTTTATTGTAGCTTATTGTTGCGTTCTTATCAATTGTACGACATATCGATGATATAATGTACAGTAGGTCAATTGTAGTAGACGAAATGATTGAAAACCGAGCCCTTCTTTGTGGATTCTACGATGTTCATTCTGCTAAATTCTACTCGAAACTGACAATGACAACACCATTGAGTGACCAAAGGTAACACAAGGGAGTGGGTTACTACGAAAGGTAAGGGGATATATATACCCCTAGCAAATCCCCCTAATACCAATATGCCGAGCTGTTTGCATTCCTCATAGCACCGCAGACTATCCTGTTGCAACTATTTTCTAAAAACTTCATAGGAAAACAAAAGTCCCCTTTCTCCTAAATTAGTAATGTGATAAGTAGAAATGTCTAATGGTTATAATAATTATAGTTCAGGAAAAATATCTATACTAACTCAATACTGCATGTGGTGGTATACAAGTGTTTTGTCATTTTTTATGTGCAATAGTGCACTACTAATACAAGTTATTTAGGAGTATGGAAAACGACACTATTTACAATCAACTCAGTCAAGTAATGTGTAAGTAATTATGACCCTCGTCACTTCTGCATCATTGAACTAATCTAACTCCGCGGCGCTGGAAGCACGATTTAATCCGCGGCGCAAATGCTACTCGGCGCAACTGCTACTACACGCATGTAGGCCTATAGGTACCTCACTTCTATCATAAGCTCGGACCTATCTATGCCCGATATCCCGACCTAATCTATAAACACCTATTGTACACAGATACAGGGTTGTATGCACAATGATAAGAGGCTGGCCGTATCACCCCCCCCCTTGGCTTGGCGGGGGGCGCGCATAGCCGCGCCGATATCTTTGCTGCAGTCGTCGTGTGAGAGGCCGCTCGTGCGCTAGTGTTGATCGCTGCGTGTGTGTAGTGTTTGTGATAGTGTGCGTTTGTGGTAATTGATTTTGTGAATTAATTGTTTTAAAAGAGGGTGTTATAGTTTTGTATAGAGTTTGGGGTGTTTACAAGTTTTGGTATGCCTATTTGGAATTTAAGTGTTCAAGTAGATATTTTTGAAATTTAAATTAAACGATTATTAAATGTCAACACTAAATGATATTAGGACATAATTAAAACATTGACTTAGTGTTTTTGTTGTGTTTACCATCGCGTAGAATACGCGTAAATCAAAAGTAATCGGTTTCGAGTTTCATAAAACTTAAAAGTTTATCGGAATACAAGTTCTGTCCAGCTAATAGCCTTCTTGCCTTATTGTTTTCTTTTTTATCTTATTTCAAAGTTGTTCTCTTGATATATTTACCGGTACACCTTGATAAGAGTAAAGAAACCTTTTTATGTGAGTTATTCAATTTACTAAGGTAATAACACAAAATAAAACTTAATGCTCATAGCACTGTATAGTCCCTCACAGTTCCCATAGAAAATCTATTCTAATCGATCAAATCAAAAAGGTAGCCTACATTGAGCAACAAATTTCTAAATTGAAACCAAAATTTAACTGTTCATTTTCAAATCGACTTTACTTCAATTAGAAATCTTGTAGAATATTGTTAAGCCCCAATGGACAATCAATTCCGTTGTGTGTTATTACATTATTTTACAAACACTTGCAGTTCAACACTCAAAGAGCATACATATATTGAAACTAAACATTTACTTTTTAACATTATATTGAGCTTTTCAAAGCGTACATTTGTTAACATAAATTATTCTCTCTAAGCTATCCAGGCTTGTTAAGTTACATTTACCAGAAGGGTTTTGTCGTAATCATATAATACCAACGGACCAAAAGTATGCCATTATGAAGCAAGCTTTAACCAATTATGAAACTAAACTAGCGTTTTACAGAAACATAACCTAGTTACCAGACTTGGTAATTCATCCCAATTACCCCGGGTTGCTGGTAATTGAATATCATAATGTAAATTGGCGTCAAGTTGACGTTAATAGATTATAAACATAAATTATTCAGTTAATTTACTGATGATGGTAATCGTTAATGTTTTTAATGGCAAGTAACCGTTAAAACTGTGATGATAGTTATGAATTTGATGTAGTACGATTCATTATACCTATAAATGCACTCTGATAATTATAAATGAATTAAATCATTGAACATTGATTACAGCTTTAACCCATGGATTAATTAATACGAGAGGTCGTCCAGTGGTCGAAACTCGACCAAAAATATGTAATGTACTCACTTATCTATTTTCACCCCACACTGTAAATAAAACATGTGATTGGAGTTTCCTCCATTTGTTTTGATTTTCTGTTTATATTTCGTTGTTATTTCGTAACCAGCATAGCAACGCATAAGATCCATGTTAATTTTTTCAAATTTTTAAACTCATTTTTTGTGCTTATCTTTGAGCCTATTTAAATTTATAAAGGGATTCTGCACACCTACAGGAAAATAGCTTTCCAACGGTATGCGTAGATTTTCCCTACGATTCACACGAGCTGAGAAAAAAGGTTTTAAAGAAACATGCTTGCCTATTAATAATAGATAGATTCATAACACACGCTTACCATAACAAAAGGTATTTCCAAAATCGTTTAAGCAGTTAGGTATTGTCAAATAAATCATTCTGTAATTGTATGTATTCCACAAAATGTTTCCTGAACAAATTCAATACTTAAATATAAGGTACAAACATGCCTAACTGTTTGTCAGTTTGTACGTGTTTTAACGAAATTAACAACCTTTTGAAAACATACCGGTATATTACTATTAAGTTTTAGTCGTGTAACCTTTTATCGGAAAAGATGGTATATAAAATATGGTAAATCTGGGGATTATTAAATCTGTCTTCGAGACACCCCTTAGTGAAAAGTCGTGCGAAAAGAGACTATCATATAACAAATTCAATACAAACAGTTTTACCATAGATAGATTAAGCATGGTTTTACGCTGCGTATACAACTATTTTATTTCGAGCTTAACTAACAGTTCAAGCGAGAGTTTTATTCATTGTCAGCTACAGTATTTTATTGACTTAAGGATGCTAAAATGTACATCATATTTGTGTAGACCATTTCTAACCAATTCACTCATAGAGAACATAATTGAATTAATTTTGCATAAATTGTGCTACTAACTATTGAAATCAGAATTCATTGCCCTACTGGATATTGCTAAGAATTTGCTAAGAATCTTAATTAACTATTGAAAGTTTATATTCATATTGGACTAGGTGGACTAAATTTCACAAAATTATTTTACAGCTACAGTTATACAATTTTCAGGTTTTATTCTAAAACTAACCTCTACTTAACACGGGAATTGAATTTCGCAGAAGTGTGAAGAGTATATGTGAAATGTTTCACCAACACTCTACAGTGGATAGGCTAGTGACTGTCACTTCATTGTATTGTTATCACTACTAGACTACGGTATATCACTATCACTATGACAGTCTGTCACTGTAGTGATGTGTATTGCTAGTGACGGCGGTTATGTGATGGACGGGTTGTGTTGTCAGCGAAAAGTACGGATATAATCGGGCATTGGCATTCTCGAATCCGAATGTGTTCTTTTCACAATGGGTGTATTTTAAAATGAAATTTATTTTTGGAAAATTCCACTTAGATTAGTTACAATCTTTTGCTTTATAAATTTGTCCCATTTAAATTTGTGAAAGTTTTTTACTTGAATTAGAATTAAATTTTACTAACTAGACTAACGTCATAAAATTAGATAAATATTTTGTCGCTGTAGGCCTATGTAAAACACTGTTATTATTGAGAACATTATTCAGTTTAGATTACATAAAGTTTGTAATTCGACATCTTTTCAGATGTTGAATTCGTAGATTTTGCATTAGGCCTAAAATAATATGAGGATGTAATTTTCCTTAATTCGTAAATAATAATTACTCTATGTACTTTTTATCAACAAATAATATTCAAACGGTAATTAATTATGAATATTTTCTGAAACAATTCATACGACCACACAATAGTTATTTGTGTAGCTAGTGGTGAAAGTGGCACTTTGCTGCACACGAGAGCAATGTTTAAGCACGAGCCGCAGGCGAGTGGGGAATGATCTCGAGTGCAGCAAAGGCCTTTTTCACTCGTGTTACACATTATATTTTTCCTACAGACACTATAAAGTATATAAATAATTAGTCTTTCAAACACTATACAACACGTTTTTAGGTTCAGCTGGCAACACAAATAGGTGCCCTAGAGAAAGTAGTACGCGTGGTCCGTATCACTCCGCTATTTTTCCTAGGCAAGAAATGTGCTCCGCGTTTTAAGAATATAATATAGTTCCGTATGTTTTTGTAATTTGAAGTGGTTTCCGCGCCTAAAAAAACGCTTTAAATGTATTTTCTTGTTTATTAAGATCGTAGGAATGTTTTAAAAACGTTTAAAAGAAAAGTCCAGAAAGTTCAGAAATACCGAAACTATAAACACGAAGTGACAGGTTAAATCGTAGTTATAATAGTCAATCAGCTGCTCATAGTATTATTATCTTTAAGTGTTGCCAACCTATTTCCAAGCGTACACGGATTACGTGCATAATAGAACCACGCTGTTTTGTGTTGTTTCGTTGGAATCCTGATGTGCGGCAAAGTATAAACCGTACGGCAAAGTATGAACCGTACGGCAAAGTATAAATATGCAGCAATTAGCAGCTTTCTGTACTATAAACAGTACAAGGAAGCCAACTTTGTCGGGTGACTGTAGGAAAAAGCTTATACAATATGTTTATTTTTGGTTTAGATTGTCATAGTGGAAACAGTTTCTAAACGATTAAATTAATCATATGACTTTTCATAAAAGGGTATCTCCAACAAAAAGACACCTTCGTTTGTTAAAAAATGTTTATACATTTATATGGTTCTACATCTAGAGGTCGGATCTGAACCACTAGACGGCATTATCTCACATCTAACGGTAATCACATTAGTGTAAGCTGGATTCGAACCCAAGGCTCTAAAGGGAGTGAGCTGGTCTAGCGGTAGAGCGCAGAACTTCAGTCCCCGAGGTCCTGGGTTCAAATCCCGCCAATAACTTATATATGATGATGCCACGACCTTCTAGGACTACACTGAAGTAATGTTTAAAACAACAGTCCCGGGCTAGGTCCTAGGATGTAAAGAGGGAATAAAACAATCAGACGTAAATCTCTTCCTGTTTGATACCCTTAGCATTTTACATCCCAATGCTGAAACATTGTGGAACCAGCGTTCGTTTATGAGTTATAATCTGGCAATGACAATATAGAAGCGTGCGGCTTTATAACCTCTTATCTACGTCATATGAAAGGTGTAACATTAGATAGTGACGGTAGCTCGCGGCCGCTCCCACAGATAGCAATGAGAGGGCGGTGTGGTCCGTAAACGCCAATTTACATGTAAAACATCCCAGTCTGGACCGGACTGGAGTGAGAAGGTGGGGCACATTCTTGTGAACAAATGAGAAGATGGCGTTGTCATTTCAGGGATTCAAATTTTATTGTGGTCTACGGTATGAACATTTGAACAAATGCCATCGGATATACAATTACGATTCGGTAAATAGGTCGATGTTTGTCGTATGGCTAATCAATTATGACTGATTTCAACATAGCCTACACATATCAGCACTCAATATTAGCTGCTAACAGATTTTAGAACTCCCAAAATTACAAATAAAAAGCAATTTAAAACATCTTAAAACTACTACAGTACCTATACAGCAAACCAAAATACATTTCCAATACTTTATCTCTATTTAAAAATATAAATAAATGACCTCAGTGGAACATTTCCTCTAATCACAATTCCCAATTGTTTAGAATTGGGGCCACAATATGTTTATTTTATTGTGATAACCCCGTAATAAAAAAGTTCATAAATTCTACAAAAAATAATACAATACCTTAATCTGAACACATTTTCATATTACTCACAAACATCGTAATTACAGCCTTATATGTTTTATTTCAAAAATTTCAAAATGAGGTGTCATTGCTAAAAATTATTGTAAGGAAATCCCCTGAATCTAGGCCTACACTCATACAATATAAATGTTGTTTTCTCTCACTGGTCAGTTTTACTTCAGCATCATAACATAGCCACATTACCTGGCTAATTTGATCAATCTAAATCATCTGTTTAATGTTTATGTTTACTTTTTGTAATTTGTTATGATTAAGTTCAGTTTTTGTTCTTAAATTTTAAAATGTTGCTGTTAGTTTAGTTAAAAAGTAAAATTATGCTTTATACCTTAAGTGAAAATAATATTTTTAGCAAATCTTAATCCCCCTCAATAAACTCTAGCGCAAATTTCACAATCGTCACTAACATTCTATTGTGTAATTCTCAAGAATTACAAGGCGCGGAAGGTGGTTTACTCGAAGAATTCAGTGAACAGTGAGAGTGGAATACAAAACAGCTGTGTACGGTAGCTCGACAATGACCTTGAGCAGCCTTGAAGGTCACTCGGTCTGCAGAGGTGGCTAGTGATAGTGATAGTGAGGTCATCGTTTGTGATAGTGACGTAGCAAGAGTCAGCCATGGGAAAGAGCAGCAGCAAACTCAAAAAGAAGGATCGGACTCAAAGTAAGTAGGAATGTTTGTAAAGATTTTGCATTTGTGATTTTATCTACTTTTAAGAAAGATTCGAAGAAAATAGTGTCACTCGCTATTTTGTGGCTGTGCTTGCCTTCAAAACTGAAGATCAAACCAGCAGATCTTAAGCATGATCTGATACTATCAACATCCTGATACTATTTGCCATCAGGCAAAGTATCAATTAATGACGCTACCTATCAGATAAGGATGGCATTAAATTGTTAAATGACCGTGGTTTGGAGGGGTAAGGGGACTAACAACGTTAAATTTTCCAATTTGGTGTTGACAGTTCATATTTAGAAAATAAAATCTGGTTGGTAATATAAAAATATATATATAAAAGAGACAGGTTTCTCAAAACTCGCATCTACGTATTTTATACGAATTGGGCAATGCATTTACTACTTTTAGCAAATCAAATTAGTTATATTTACAAACCTTACAACAATTACAAGGAAGATACACAGTAGTATTTATATTGCACAGTCTTTCTGTTGATAATTACAGTTTTAAAGCATTCGAATTCTTTAATAAGGATCCTGGTTCAATGAAAATAATATCTACGAGTAAAATGCCTAAAAATAACTCTTTAAAATCGAAATTTTAATGACTTAGGTCCCTTAAGCACCTAACTTCTTTTTATAGAATTAATGAAAAGATTTCAGTTCCTAAACTATTTTCACTAAATCAGTTCCTTAAATTTAAATCCCAGGATGGTCATGCGTTTTAATAAAAATATATTTATATGGAAGCTACGTCAGGATACAAGCTCAGAAGAAAGTAAGGTAGACCTGAAACTTGTACTCATCATATATAAACCTAGGTATAACCTTTTATTTGGTGCGGTGGGGTTCTAAATCATTATGACAGCCAATTCCTTTAGTGCATGAATGGCCTCTGGAACTTAAGTTCCACATAAGAACACTAGACCAATCTCATCTAAAGGATGTAAAATGGTTTTAAAACACCACATACTACTGCTAGCTTTCTTTAGAATTAACTAACAGTATCAAAAGCACGAGAAAACAAATTATCAGAGTTTCCAAATAAAGGTAATGAAGTCCAAAATGCAGCCAAAGATTAGGTGAGGTGGAGTCCAAATCGTTATGAGGCGTTTTGACAGCCAATTACTTTAGTGTACGAGTGTCCTTTGGAACCAAGTTCCACATTTTAAACACGAGACCAATATGGTCTATAAGATGTAAAATAGCTTAAACATACCACAAACTATTCCTTACTTCCTTTGTATATATCTCACAGTACGTACAATCAAATGATCTGAGCTCCAAAAGGTAATGTCCAAAAGATGTTGTCAAAGATTTTGCAACGTCCTGGAAACGTGCCTTTCACCTCCTGGCTGTGGGCGTTGCAGGATGGTATCTGGATCTGTAGGGGTCCAAGAAGAGTAGGAGGCCAGGGTTGGGCTTCTGCCGTCATTAAACCAAACAAGACTTCATTTCCAGCCTCTGGACCATCAAGTCCGCCCACTGGCACAGTTAGCAGATCAACTAGTTTCAGTTCCTGCAAATCGGCGCAATTGTCTTAACTTAATGGGCTTTGAACGATTTAAAGTTTTGATGACAGATTTGTAGTACGGATTGAATAGATATTTTTTACTTACGTTTATAATGTTTTTTCTTGGAGAATTTCATAATATAGTGTGAGGAAAGCTGAAGTTCCGTTTCTGCAAATTGGTGCAATTGTTTTAATGGGATTTGAACGATTCTGTGTTTTTTGATGTCGGATTTGTAGTGTACTGGTTGAATAGCGGTTTTCAATTACGTGCGAATATTTTGTCATAGAGCAAAAGTGAAATTTAATCGCAATTTGCCTTGGATTTAGTTTTGTAAACGGTAAATTTTTACACACGTAATAGGAAGAAACAGTAGTAAGTGTAATATTACGTATTTTACATTATACTCCTACGATCATGCCAAGTATTAAACATATGTCCCAGCAGGTTTGTAAACTTTATGGATATGTGGGCCTAATCTATATTAAAAGAATTTGTTGGATTTTTGTGTGGAGCAAATTGACCCCTAAATATTTATTTTTTATAGACATATTGGGTATCAATTTAAAGCTCTTATCCTCAAAATTAAAAGAAGAAATGACTTACGTTAGATATTGTGTTGTGAGATGATTTTTTGTCTTCATAATATGTTTTATTGATGTTTTACGTAATTCAAGTAAAATATTGTAATGTTACCTGCGTAAATTGTAAGTGAATGAGAAAATGACTTGCGTTAGATTTTGTGTTTTCATTGTATGTTTCATTTGTATTTGTAATTTTTCTAAGATGCCTCCGATAGATCGCGCACGCAATGAAAATAATAGGGCTCGCAATGCAAATATAATAGGGTTATGATGAGACATAGCCGTTTTTATCAAATATATAGCAAACATATCACGGATTTTGAAGTCACTTATTCTGAATTAAAAGATTATTACGCTCCGGTTTTTTTTAGAGGGACTGTTAAATTTTAAAACATTTTCATCAGAATAAAAACTAGTTAAGGATGATTAATTTCTTATCGTGTAAAACTTTTATTTAATGAGTAAATCTCAACACTAAAATCCATCATAAATTTGAGAAATAAGCGATTTTAATTCTGCACACTAAAATATCACCAAAATGAGACGCATATGAATCTTTATATTCAGATTTACGATAGGATGAGAAACCTACTACAGTATTGAGTGTCAAATAACATTTATAAGCTTCAGTTATAGAAAAGCAGAAATTGTTTTCAAGCAACCTTATATATTAAATTAAATTAACTTTATATTATTAAACTTAACTTAACTTTATGTTATTATTTAACTTTATCAAATTAACTTTTATAGTTCTTTTGGTTAATCAATCCAATCAAGACAAAACTAACCTAATGTAACCAGACACAAAATACTTTTATGTTTTCGATTAAACTTTATTTAATATTTAGTACTTCTTTATTTAATACTTTCGCTGATAATGTTGTGAGCGTTCTATACAATTCTTTTAAACACAATACACAATGTCTAATTAAATTAAAATAATTGATATTATTACCACGATAATATTCAAACGTATTAATAATTACTCATTAGATAAATCCTTAAAATATATACCTAAGTAATTAATAATAAATTTTAGACACTGGAAGCACTAACGATTGCACGTTCTTGTTCATTCATGGAGCAAGACACCGTCCACATCCAGTTTACATTAAGCATAGGTAAAGATCATTAATGCTATTGGCATAAACTCCAAATTTGATTCGCTTGGGTATGTTTTGCTCGTTAGTGCTTGGGTATAATGATGTTTGGGTTCAGTAAGACAGGAGTTCAGGTATGTGGGTGTGTTTGTTTGTTTGTTTCTTCCTCACCTGGTTTTCTCCCTTTCTTCACGGTTCATTCAACCTGTTCTATACAATTCATTACGTTGTTTGGTTTTCTAATTGACACACATCATTTGCCATCCCACCTGGGGAGCTCAACACTTTTACTTTCTTTTCTCATTTTGTTTTTAGTGTTTTTAGTGTTTTGTGTAGAATATTTAGTTTTTTTTTTAAGTGAATTTAGATAGAATTAGAGTGAGCCTATAGTGGTGGACACTTTTACTTTCTTCTTAGTTTATTCATAGTTTTTTACTGAGATTTTAAAAGTAAAATAAAGTTCAATAAAATATTATTTAGTTTGTATTATCGACTCGAACATAATTTAAGGCAACATAACCAACAATTATATCGTAATATATTATACATAGCTGAATAGCTAAGTGGTTATGGGGCTCACCTGACAGTTAAAGGGTTGTTGGTTCGATCCTGAGAAAACGCAATTGTTTGGTAACTGCTCTAATCTGGGCTTTCAATAATGTATATGGCTAAAGAAACTGCTAACAAAGAAAGGATAAGGCACACCTCTTCACTGTACAATGATGTTATATGAGTATTCAGATTAAAATACGGATTTTATGTGTGCGTTGCTTCTTTCAGTAACGATATACATATAATACCATAGTCTAACCAAGGGAGTATGTTTTATCTATGACTAGCTGTAACCCGCGGGCTTTGCCCCGTTTAACTTCTTAATTTTCAAGATTATCTCGTTCGCATGGCTCAATCACGTCCTGGTTGAAGTTTGTTCGCTACGCTCACTCACCTTTAGGTTGGAGCTCGTTCGCTACGCTCACTCACCTTTTGTTTGCAAATTAGCTGTTGTCATAAATGTAAAAGAAATAATAGTGCTGCACCCTGTTGGTAATCATTGTAACTTTAATGCTATTGAACATCATAGAACAGAACCAACTTGTTTAATTGAAACAGCTGTTAAGATTCAATAATTCCATTTCTCATAAGGTTAACATGGGAAACTCCAGAGCCACTGGGGCGGAGCCCGAAAGGATTTTTGAAATAAGAATATGCCTATATGTTAATCGGGAATGTGAGCTATCATCATGCCAAATTTCAGCCCAATCCGACCAGTATTTTTCGAGTTTACTTTTCCCATACACACATACACACATACAGCAACCACCTCTTTTTTATAATAGTATAGATAGATAATACCACTGTCTTGTCTATGATAAAACCTACATAACAGCAAACATGCAGACTAATTGAATTTAGATATAGGTAGATATAAAACTTGAACGAATAGTGATTTTTGCCTCTGGAGACATCAAAATAAAATTAGGCCTAGTAAATCGGTACCGAGTCTATGTCTTTCCGTGCCACCCGCGGTAATAGCCCTATATGGACATTTGCTAAACCGATAAAAACATCTGTACTATAGTACGTGCTCGTGGTAATCAAGGCTTTATCGTAGTGAGTATGGGTCATGAAATAAGTGTGGATCTGTTGAGCCTCGTAAAGGTTGAAAATGAATTCGACTCAAGCTCAATCCTACTCGAACCAAATCAAGATGAAGTAATACGGGCACAATCCTTGAAGTAGGGTAGATTTCAAAATCAAATCAAGTATAAACCCTACCTTGCCAATTATTCA